GACATCAGTGCGAGTCGGTGGAGAAAGTCTTGTGGTGGGCTCAAACCCATGACCTTCTGGCTCAAAGGCCAATGCTCTACCAACTGAGCCACTATAATTTATACTTTTGGCCCTGACCAGCTCCTTTTTTTTTTTTTTTTACCAAAATGAGTTTAACATCCCTGTTCTACAGCATTGGGTATTATTCTCAATACACAATAATTTAAAAAAAAACATTGAATACATAGTTCCAACAGACCAATGAATGTCACATGACCTCCTCGGAGACGCCATCTTTGATGGCACGCTGCTGTGTTTGTGCATTCCATTAAACAGAAGAATGAGAATAAATGTAGATATTCAAACGCAAATTGGAAAAAAAGGGCAACTTTTGAGCAAATAATTGTATATTAATACAATGGCACCACAGTTTAACATGCTACGGACATGTTTTACATATTTGATCAAATTATGCAGCAAAAATTAACAAGCAATGCAAACATTTCTCAAAAACTTTAGATTTAATACCAGTTGGAGCTCCATTTAATTATTTTAATTATATTAACAATTAATTTAATTAATGCTAATGCCACACGGACACTCTGGATTGCTGTTATTGTTTATTTCCGCGTTTTTGACCGTATGTTTTGGTGAATGGTGGGCAACTGATTTTTCCAGGCGTAAAGAGCAGTTTATTTTATGACACAGATCTTTTTACAGAAGCAATGCTGTTTGTGAACATTGTTTTAGCCCACCATAGAACTATTATTATCTATTTAATACATTTACGTTGCCCTCGAGAGCCTCGGACGCGACACCGATCCTCCTCATAATAAAGTAATCTAACGCTAAATAATGAAACTCTCAAGTTACCAGATATCAGCATACACAAGTTAGTACTGAGTAAATTACGTCTGTCAACACATTATAAGATACGATACGCACCTGACACAAAGTGCTCCGAGCATATTCTTGAGTGTTTTGAGGGAGTTTCTTGCCTGTTTATCTTCGCAAGCCATAACCTCCGTCGTTGTTCTGACAAAAGCTTAGTCTTCTCACATTCATGAAGTCTAATGATGGGTATACTGTAAAATCCAAGTTTAACGGAACCTCCGGCACGATTTGAACATCCATTGACCCAGCAGGAGATGACCATTTTCAACTTTATCACGACATTAACACGTTTCAGCTTCTTTTTCTATTGTTTTGCCCACAGCATGCCAACTCAAATGGCGCCGGGTCGGCAAATCCCCGTATGTAGTGACGTCATGTGGGAACTATGTATAAGAATCTTGAGAATCGTGGCATTCCTATTCTGTGTGTTTTTAGCTCTGGTTGTCCAAAGATAAATTAATACAACATAATTTCTGTGGTCAAAACTGGAGCTTGAGCTTTCAACAGTATTTCCATCTGCACCTTTTTTTTCATACGACACAGACCACTAAAGTATTGGCTGATGACCCTGACAGAACCAGCAGTGAAAGGACAGGAGGTGAAATGAGTAATTCCTATTCTTCTCATTGTTAGCCCTTCTTCCGTATTGATGACATAATGGGACCTTGCAGATTGCATTAGTCGTTCAGTGTGTTTTCGATACGTAATAATATTAGCGAGAATGTCTGTTAAATTACATGGGTTTGAATTTGCCTGGCTGGATCTGAACTGTCTTCTTCTTCAAGGACATAATCTGTGGTCATTACTGTACTTTGAATTGGCGGCATTGCTAGCAGATTCTTCAAAAATATCATTTTTGAAGAATCTGCTACTTTGATAGGTTACCGCTTTGGGAAATGTATGAACAATGTATGAACAATAAGTTTCAAGATTCAAAATGTATTTGCCATTTGCAGTAAACCCACATTTGAAAAGCTGTGCACGCCAGAGCTCTTGCCACAGCGCCATTTTTTCCAGCGTAATGCAATAGGTTCCCAGAAAAAAAACCAACAACAATAAACGCATCTCTGGCAGACAACAGACTTTTTTGAAGTGTGTTGTAAATATTACTAAGTCCTTTGAGTCTGAATATATTTTGAATAGACACTTCAGAGAGAATGAACTATTAAAACCTGCTTATCTAATTAAACGGTCCTAATTGTAACCTCTTACTCTAATGCACAGTAATAGATGCACACACACATTCAGGTCGGTGTGTGTGTTTGTATACTCATCAAAGTGTGGACTAAAATAAGTACACAAAAACTGCTTGGTGGACTTAGGCTGTGTTAAAAGTAATCAAAAATGGGTGCTTTTTTTCAATGTATGACACTTTCGTATTGAATGTATTTGTGATGCTGATTTTTTTCAATATAGAGAAGTTTCAAATTTAACATAACCTGAAATTCTCCATGAATCAATAAGTCATAACATCTTAGTCACCTCCAAACTAAAACTTTACTTACTTACTTACTCCAAACCTTTTGCCACCTCCATGGGGCTTTGACAAAGATGGACAATCTCCAGAAGACTGCTAGTTTCCACATACTGTACCTGCATTTTTGAACTCTGTTGCATCTTTAGATCAGCTCTTTCAGAAAGAGCTGTGAAAAAGGCAGGCCCACCCTCCTTCAGCCGATTTGTGTATCTTTTTGTTGGGAAAAAAACTATTTGTCACCTTAAAAGAACATAGAAAATACAAAAAGGTACCCCAGTTTTAATGTAAATGATGGTCGACCGACAGTGGCTGATTCATTGACTACTGAAGAAGAGTGACAGTCCTGGAGGTTTCAGCCTTGGTTTTGGGCTCTGGTGAAAGTTAAGGTTTGGGTGTGAGCTTGTGTAGATGTACAGTAGGTCCCATTCCGTTTTGTCGCCTTTCACGCGTGAATCACACGAGAATCACGTGTGATTCACGCGTCTTTTATTTTCCCCCCTCCCAGTGACGTTGCAATGACCAAAACAACCACCAGGTCGCACTTGTGAGCAGGGTTACATTGGCGAGTTTCTGCCCCGCGCACATCGACAATCTGGTTTAAACGGGCAACTCCTTGTAGCAGGCCAGTCTCTGGAAAACCCGCAGACATTAAAACTACTGCATATAACGTAAACTTTTGCATCACGTTGGTGATCTTTCCAAAAAGAGAGAATATCGTTATGGAAAGAGAAACTATTGGCTCCGCTGGTGTCTCCTCCCACTCAGAAAAAAAGCAGACGCCTTTTCTCTGGCATCTCTAACATTTATAATAAATACATAAATATAACAATCATAATGAAGATGCTTTCAAATAATTTAGCAAGCTGTAATTCATTTATTTCAACTGCCAAACTTCTCTCGCTGCTCCTCTCCTCTCCTCCGCAAATCACTAAATGAGGAAAAGGGAATATTCACTCAATCTATTTTGAATGTTACACATACAATATTAATATAGTCTAAGCACGTGTACCACATGTAGCCCGTGTATTTACCACAGACTGTAAGTATTAAAGTAATGAGGCCCCTGCTTTAGGCCTCTGCTGTGAGGCCCACACCGTCATCAGTCTCGGTGCCTCTGTGTAGATCACACGTCTGTCCTCGGGCTGGAGTGTTCTGAGGCTTTAAGCGGGGAGTCAGGAAGGAGCGATCCTGTTTGTCAGCAGCTGATTTTTTTGTTTAACAGCCTCCCTGCGCGATTGCAAATGTACTCAAGGGACTCCCATACCGTGGCTCACATATATTATATTATATAGGGATCAGGAGCTTTCTGACCCGACCCACCCGCACCTGACATGACTCATATTTTTGAGGCATCCAACCCGCCCGAAACCGCGGGACCCGCGGGTTGACTGCGGGTTTCGGGCCGACCCGCGCATCTCGCATGTCCTGTTCAGGGCTGCAGGAGCAATTGTCCATTATTTTAATTGGACTTCTGGTCCATGCACACTGTAAAAAAGATAAAGTTAGATCAACTCAAAATTTCAAAGCAACCAGCTGCAAAGGATTTTTGAGTTGAAGGCATTAACTTAATTCTTCAAGTTTTGAAGAACTACACTTATTAAGTTGTGTCAGTTAAGTTTTCCAAGTTCTGCCAACTAAGTGTTTAAATTCAAGTTACTGGAAATTTCAAGTCTGTAAAAACTTACTTTTTTAAGTTCAGATTACTGTCGCGAGCAGAGAGAGAGAGAGAGAGGTGAGCAGAGAGAGAGAGACGCGAGCAGAGAGAGAGAGAGGTGAGCAGAGAGAGAGAGACGTGAGCAGAGAGAGAGAGACGTGAGCAGAGAGAGAGAGAGAGAGGTGAGCAGAGAGAGAGAGAGAGAGGTGAGCAGAGAGAGACGTGAGCAGAGAGAGAGAGACGCGAGCAGAGAGAGAGAGACGCGAGCAGAGAGACGAGAGAGACGTGAGCAGAGAGAGAGAGACGCGAGCAGAGAGAGACGTGAGCAGAGAGAGAGAGACGTGAGCAGAGAGAGAGAGACGTGAGCAGAGAGAGACGTGAGCAGAGAGAGACGCGAGCAGAGAGAGAGAGACGTGAGCTGAAAGAGAGAGACGTGAGCTGAAAGAGAGAGACGCGAGCAGAGAGAGAGAGGCGTGAGCAGAGAGAGAGAGGCGTGAGCAGAGAGAGAGAGAGAGAGAGGTGAGCAGAGAGAGAGAGACGTGAGCAGAGAGAGAGAGAGAGAGAGAGAGAGAGAGAGAGAGAGAGCAGAGAGGAGAGAGAGAGTAGGATTTCAGAGCAGACCAGCTGCGATAGGAATTTTTTGAGTTGAAGGCATTTACTTTAATTCTTCACGTTCTGAAGAAAATACACTTATGAAGTTGTTGTGTCAGTTAAGGTTTCAAGTTCTCGCCAACAAAGTGTTTAACATCTAGTACTGTATTTCAAGTCTGATGTAAAAATTACTTTTTTAAGTTCGATTACTGTAGCGAGCAGACGAGAGAGAGAGAGAGGTGAGCAGTGAGAGAGAGTCAGCGACGAGGAGACTGTGTAGCAGAAGAGAGAGAGACGTGAGTCAGAGAGAGCGTGAGAGCGGTGAGCCCAGAGAGAGAGAGACGCTGAGACGAGCAGAGAGAGACTGCGAGGGAGTGAGGAGAGAGTCGTGAGGCGCGTGGGCAGATGAGAGGGGCTAGTGGGAGCCGTGGAGAGGAGGACGCGAGAGAGGTTGAGCACGACGTTAGAAGCCTACGGTCGTTAGTGCAGGAGGGAGAGGAGTGGACGCGAGGTTGAGCAGGAGCGCGACTGTGAAGCAGTGAGCGAGTCGGACTGAGCAGAGAGAAGAGTGACTTGAGTGTGTCGCAGGTGAGAGAGATGAGAGCAGTGAGGACGAGACAGAGGGAGAGGACGCGTGCAGAGAGGAGAGGAGCAGAGAGGCGAGAGAGCGTGAGCGTGAGCCAGGAGAGAAGATCGTGTGAAGCATGACGAGAGAGAGAGTGGCGAGCTGGAGACGGGAGGAGACCGAGGACTGTGTGAGCAGACAGAGGCTGGAAAAGAGAGCGGGAAGCAGAACGAGAGAGAGAGGGAGACGTGAGCAGGAGGAGAGACGTGAGAGCGAGTGAGAGAAGAGACTGGGAGCGGAGAGCGAGCAGCGAGTGAGGAGTGAGACGTGCGTTTTGGGAGCGTGGAGAGTGAGAGAGAGACGGTTGAGCAGAAGAAGAGAGAGGCGAGACGGTGAGGAGAGAGTGACGCGTGTCTGAGCGAGACTAGCGGCTGCAGAGTGAGAGTCGCGAGCAGAAGAGGAGCCCGTGAGCAGAGAGAGAGGATAGACGTCGAGCAGCGACGATGAGAGACGCGAAGCAGAGAGAGGAGAGAGACGTGACGCAGGAGGCCAGGAACGCGAGCACGAGAGAGGAGAGATGGCGCGGGCAGGAGAGGGGAGCAGAGGCGTAAGGGAGAGAGAAGAGGGGAGATGAGGGGGAGAGACGAGGACGCGAGTGCAGGCAAGGGAGAGAGAAGGGCGCGTATGTGCAGAGGAGACTAGGAGAGAGTGTGCGAGAGGGGTGCTGAGCTAGAAGAGAGGAGTTGAGCATGAGAGAGAGAGAGACGTGAGCAGAAATGAGAGAGACAGCGGAGCAGAGAGAGAGAGGCGTTGAGCGATGAGAGAGGAGAGAGGAGCCTCGTGTGAAACTGTAAAAACGGACAAATCTCAAAAATTGTGCACCTTACAGTTTTTGTGTGTGCATGCCTGAAGTCAATAATTCCCTTTGACTGACGTATCCAAAGTCGATGCAAGAGCGAGACAAGAGATCTTCACGTTTAACATCTGCATTTAATTATCTTTACAATCAGATACAGAATATTCAACAAAAAAAGTGCTCCTAAACTAATATGTCCCTCTCCTGGCCCTCGGCTGACTGACTGCCAATCTCCTCCAGCAGTTTCTATCAAAGGGTCCGATGACGTCACAGATCTGGGACTGGTCTGGCCCCTGGTCCTGGTCTGGACCCGGTCTTCCATCTCCACCTGAGCAAACAATGCCCCCCACACTGGGCGCCTGTTGTGTTGGACTTTTGCCCTCGTCGAGAGTGGGAGAGAGCATTTGTTTATTCTTGGAGTCAATAATTGTCTGGTTTTGTAAGCTGGTCATCTCTATGATTCCTGAGTGCATATTCCTTTGTCTGATGTGCAGCATTTTGTGAATATTCGTCAGTCCCTCTTTTGACCTATATTAACAATAGGTCACAATCTTTCAATATTCTCTGGGTGACGGGACTGGGGAGATTCCATCATCCTAGTTCTGGCTCGATATCTGTGAAGAGTTAATACAGGAGACGAACAACACACAACCACATTGAAACATTCCTTCACTAAACTCTTTGATGACCACTGCTGTCATTCTGATTCTTCTTCAACCTCGTCTTTAATGTATGCACTAAAACTATTCACTATAGTTTAAAAAACTATTCTAATCTATTTACCAATATGTTTGCATCTTTGCTTTTATTGAGCCATATTCTTAAACATATGTTTTTATCTAATAAATCTATCTATACTGTGGTTTGCTGTCATTTATCAGTGGCTCTGTGCCATTTTGTGGGGCTTGCTCATTTTTCCAAACACATTTTGTTGAACCAGGAAGTGCTGTCACTTCCTTCTCTCAGACCGTTTGGGATAAATGTACATCGTTAATCAAATTGGTATTATCCGTACAGGAGCTAATCTATTTTAGCAGGTTTCTCTGGGGTTAGTCCCTATACAACGGTATTTTGATTCTCTAATCTGTTGCTGACAAATTGGACAGCTCTTAAAATTCTCAAAAAATACCTAAAGATCTACTTTTGTGCTATATCCCAAATTCATTCTCATTAATCTATCTCATTAGCTTTTTGCATTGTCAACATTTCACCCATGGTTTGAAACAAGTGAATTTGACAGTATCTAATAAAACTGTGCATAAACTGTAATGAACTTTATCTACCTTTGAAGTAAATACTTTTGGACATAATATGAAGGAAATGGTCCTTTTTACCGTTTGATATTAGCCTTGGCTAAAATAATCTCTATTTTTGAAAGCATCTATGCTTATTTTATTACTCTATTGTGACTCCAAAGCTCGGTTGCAGTTTGAGCCAAGGCATATTCCCAATTTTTGAGTTCTGATTGTAACAATAGCATTGGCAATAGACGATTTTTTATTGGCCGGTTCTTGTTCTGCAAATCACTATTCTATGTATTGTATTTCAGACAATTCCAAAAACAACACAGTCGTTCTCCAATATTAAAGACATACATCTAAATCAAGTTGCCTGAAAGGGATTTTAACTATTTTAAAACGTTCTCTACGATTATAAGGCTATGAAATTAATTATTTAATAAACAAAAGCACATTCATGGCTTCTGTCCGCTGCTTATAACTGTTTAAAGAGTTGTCCCAAACTTAATGTGTGTAAATACATCAGCTGTTTGTAATAAACAATAACATTTAACCTGTTCTCCAATGGAGCAGCTCAGAGGCTGCGTCAAGAGCAATGTTATATTTGAGCTATTTTTAGATTTAAAATTGTGTTAAAGCCTGTCGTTCTATGTCTGCATTTTAATACTACTCTCTATAAACACATCTGCACTAGTTCCTACAGATGTGGAAAACAGAAACATCTAAAATCTGACTCCATTTGATTCCTTTTTACTTTAGTTATTAGAACAATTTGACCTTATTGATACTTATTTCCACAATAGAACTATTTTGATTATGCACTAGTCTAACTATTATGACTTATTGTTTATTTCTGACACTTCAACCTATTAGCTCCTCGAATCCATTGACATTAAAAAGCTCCAGACTATTTCATTCTATTCTATTATTATCTCTTATTATTATATGATCTATTATCTTAAAGAGTAGATCTGTTTGATGTTATAAGCGCTATTATTTCTCCTTTTGAATTGTGCACAACACTAAATTTAGAATGACCCCCTATGGGAACAAATATAGAATTTTTATTTTTATTTTGCAACTCCGAAAATTACTTAATAATTTTCCCCCATTTTTGCTTTTTAATTAGGCTGCCCTTTCTATTATTTATTTGTTCTTGTAAATATATGTTTTACACTTCTTTCTAATGATTTAGAAGGTTAAGGGACCATGACCACCTATGACAATAACATTACTATACTCCCTCTGTTGGTCGTGGTCCAAAGTATAAAACATGCATCTGTGTGTGTGTGTAGATTACTGTTCCTATCATCTCAGTTGTTCCTCCCGGATCGTCCTCAATTCATATTGTGGGCTTTGGTGCCAAAGTCGAGGCTCATTTTCTTATGTATCCATTACTACTGTGTCATCCCTGAAGCAGGTGTGTTTATCTCTCATCTGAAAAACAAACATGAGCAACACTAAGGAATGCCACTTCCTGGCTGGTGCGGCTGTCATCTGTTATTTTTTTTTTTTTTTCGGCCCCCCTTCTTCTCTCTTTCCAATTGGGCAAAAACATAACTGCATTGACAGGTCGGTGTGTGACATCAGGGCAGAGGCTGTAGCCAAATACAGACTAAACAATGATGTATGTTTCTAATTTTACACTCCCCTAAATGTGAATTACAAACCAAAGTTGTCTTCAAACCAACGACACGCTCACTGCGGTTGGACCGACTCACTGTCAGGGACAAACAGCAGAGGGAGGGGCTCCCAGTACCTTCAGCAGGTATTCATCTCAGAGTACTTTCCGCAGAGTACTTTTCTCAGAGTACTCATCCCAGAGTACACTCACTTTTACACCTGATCAATAAAGCTTGTCATCTTTGAATCTCTAGTACTTACACCGTATGCTGTTGACAAAAAATAATTAAACCATGATCACATTAAAACATTACTAAAACTTTTTGTTATTCCATGATTCCGTTCAGCACTCCTCGTTCACTCACCCCATCACTCACATCACAACACACTCAAACAACCCCACGTTAGTATTGGTCCAGTTTGGTTAAGGTAAACGTAGTGTATTGGACATGACAGCACAAACATATAACATACACAAACATATAACATAACACAAATAAACATATAACATACACAAACAAATAACATACACAACAATAACATACACAAACATATAACATACACAAACATAGAACCTTACACAACAGCCTGTAATTTTAAACTTGGTTATATTTTTCCATTCCAATTACAATTGTACTCATGAGCGATTTTAATAGTTGCAACTTTCAGAGCCCTGCAGAACATGCAAAGCTTTGAGAGATTTTTCCTAAAAGGATCCCTTTCAAACTTTAGTGTTAAACCACGTGGTCTATACTGGGCTTGTCACAAACTGTGTCCCCTACTATTTTTTTAATGAGCTCTTGTTACTAAAAAAAAACTTGCACGTGCAATAAATGTTTTCTTTTGTTTTTTAAAGCCAGTTCGGATTCCTTAAAAATTGTAAAATTAGTTTCAACTCTTATGTAGATGACAGATGACGCTCTCTCCTTTGTTTCTGGGGACCAAAGACAATCATTTCAGTTTGTCTGGCGTTTAAAGGAAGTTGTTTTGCCTCCACTCACTGATCTGTTGGATACAGTGAAGTGGAGTGAGTCCACTGGATGCATGTTCTCATGCAGTCAGTGAGACATAGATCTGATGTCGTCTGCATAGTTATGAAAGTAAAACTTTGCTTACTGCGAATTAACTGGACCTAACGGCCAGCATGTAGAGATTTGAATAGAAGGAGTGTCCCAGGATCGACCCCTGTGGACTCCACAGGTCAGGGCCATATGATCTGAGACACATTTCCAATCTCCACAAAGTACTTCCTGTCTTCAAGTAGACCTAAACCAACTTAGGGCGGAGCCACACGCCACCCATGTCCTCTAGTCTCTGTAAGAGGATCTCATGGTCGACAGTGTCAAAGGCAGAGCCACTGAACTAGAGGAGCAACAGAGCCAAAGGAGACTCCAGGAGCCAACAGAAGACAAAGGAGCCAACAGCAGCCACAGGAGCTAGAGGAGCCCCAGGAACCACAGGAGTTGAAGGAGCCACAAGGCTACCGGAGCTTGAGACCTCAGGAACCACAGGTGTTGAATGAGCCGCAGAAGACAAAGAAGCTACATGAGCCAGACAACTACAGGAGCAAAAGGGGTTGGGAGGAGCCAAGAGCTACCAGGAGCTAAAGGGGACGCCACAGGGCCTCCGAGCTACAGGGAACCACAGCGCCCTGGCGCCGTGGCAAGAGCTCGGTGTGTGGCGTCTGGTGGCCACTGGGGTAGTCTTGCACAGTTTTTCCAATGTGGTTTTACGGCACAATAGGCAAATAAATGAATCTGAATCTGAACCACGGAGTTGAAGGAGCAGAGGAGTACAAGGAGCCATAGAGCTACAGGAGGCCCAGAGCCACAGGAGCCACAGAGCCACTGGAGTTGAAGTGAGCCACAGGAGCTCCAGGAGCCACCAAAACAAAGGAGCTACAGGAGCCACGACATCTACAGGAGCCACAGGAGTGGAGAAGCAGAGGACTACAGGAGCTAAAGAGCACAGGAGCCAAAGGAGCTCCAGAGCACTGAGCCAGAGGACTACGAGGAGACACAGGAACCACGAGTTGAAAGGAGCCAACAGGAGCTACAGGAGCCATAGGAGACACCGAAGCCCCAGGAACAACAGGAGTTGAAGGAGCCACAGAATACAAAGAACTACAGAGCCACGCAGCAACAGGAGCCACAGGAGTATTTGTATCCTAAGCTAGAGCCAAGACCACAGAGCCACAGGAGCTACAGGGAACCACAGGAGTTTTGAAGGAGCGACCGGCGCCATAGGAGCTACAGGAGACACAGGATCCACAGGAGTTGAAGGAGCCACAGAGCGTACAGGAGCATAGGAAGCTACAGGAGACACAGGAACCCACAGCGTTGAAAGCCACGGCAGCTACAGGAGCCACTGAGCCCAGAGGAGCTACAGGAGATAAAGGAGCTACAGGACAACAGAAATACAGGAGCCACTGGAACCAAGAGACAACAAGCCAGAGGAGCCAAAGGAGCTACCGTATTAACAGAGATACAGGAGCACAGGAACCACAGGAGTGAAGGAGCACAGGAACCACAGGAGTTGAAGGAGCCACAGAGCCATAGAGACACAGGAGCCACAGGATCCACATGGGTTTTGAAGGAAGCCACAGGAGGTCCAGGTGCCACAGAAAGACAAAGGAGCTTATAGGAATCACGGCAGCTACAGGAGAACAGGAACCACAGGAGTTGAAGGACCACATATTTACAAATATGTAAAAGCATATCATGATTTTCGAGAGACCCCAGGAAAGATTAGCCTTTGCATCTCAGTGCTAATGGATCTTAATAAACTAAACTAAACTAAACAGGAGCTAGAGGAGCTACAGAGCCACAGGAGCTAGAGGAGCACAGAACCATAGGAGTTTGAAGGAGCCACAGGAGCGACAGGAGCCATAGGAACTACAGGAGCCACAGGGGCCTCAGGAGCTACCAGGAAGCCACAGGAGTTGAAGGAGCTACAGGAACCACAGGAGTTGAAGAGCCGCAGGACTAGAGGAGCCACTGAGCCTGAGAGCCACAGAACCACAGGAGTTGAAGAGCTACAGGAGCCATAGGAACTACAGAGCCACACAGGACCTCAGGGCCTCAGAGCCACAAGAGCCACAGGAACTACAGGCGCTAAAGGAGCCTCAGGAGCCACATACTACAGGAGCCCACAGGAGCTAGAGAGCCCAGGAGACAGTTTCCACACAGCTACGAGCCAAAGGAGCTATAGGAGCCACGGCAGCTACAGGCCCACAGCATTTTACACGAGGATACAGGACCACAGGAACCCATGAGTTGAAGGAGCCACAGAACCACAGGAGCAAAAAGGAGCTACAGCAGCCACGCAGCTATAGAAGCCACAGCTTTACAGGAGATACATGAGTTGAAGGAGCCACAGAACCACAGGAGTTTGAAAAGGAGCCACAGGACCCACAGGAAAACCACAGGAGTTGAATGAGCCACAGGAGCTACAGGACCACAGGGGCCCTCAGAGCTACAGGACCAAAGGGGCTAAAGGTGCTACAGAGCTCGAGAAGCCACAGGAGCCTACGGGGGCCTCATGAGCTACAGGACCAGAGCAGCCAAAGGGGTTCCAGGAGCCACAGAAGACAAAGGAGCTACAGTACCACAGGAGCCCACAGGAAATACAGAGCTAGAGGACCACAGGACATCCAGTTGAACGCACGAAAACATGTGAACTGGTCTACGACTTCAGTCGCAATAGTTCTCATTTGCCTGTCGTAATCGACAACCTCCAGGTGCAGATTGTAGAGGAGTGCAAGTTTCTGGGTCTAACTCTGTCGATAGACCTGAAAATGGGTTAAAAAAAACTGACCGAGTCGATAAGAAAGCTCGTCAGCGTCTCTACTTTCTGCATACACTTAAGACTTTACCATACCTCTAAGATTCTGCTTAACTTTATATCGCTGCACCCTTGAGAGTTTACTTGGTGGTTTCTGTGTCCTGTGTGGGTTTGGAAACATCACAGCTAAAGACAAGAGAGCTGTAAACAAGGTGCTCCGCGCTGCAAAGAGGACCGTGGGCTGTGACTTCCCTGTTCTAGGCGAAAATTCAATTTAGAAGACGTCAGCCCAAGCTACCCCCTCCGGGCCGACTCACATCCTCAGCCTATGGCGCAGCAAACGCCCCCTTCCAATCACACCGTGCCGGACAGACCAGCCGCTTAAAAGCGGAGCAACTCCCATTTTACGGCCTCCCGAAGCCTCGCATGCTCCTGCAGCCTCGCAAAGAATCGTTCTGGAGGAATCGCTTTGTCTACTCACGCTTACTCGTGCGTGTCCCTGCTGTCCTCTGTCTTGCTGCGTGTGGTCTGCTCCTCCTGTGGCTGCACCTGCTGCGGGTCTCGTGCGTGGTCCGTGGGTCTTTGCCGCTCTCCTCCTTTGCGGGCTCTTTCCGCGGGTTTGCCGCTGCTCGTCTCGTCGCAGCCTGCTGCTGCATACGGCCGGTCTAGCCCGTTGCGGTGGGAGCCGTGCGCATCCCTGTCTCCTTGTGCCGGTACGGCGTGGTCCCGTCGTGTTGTCCCTTGTCTTCTGGCGCTGTGGGTAAAGTATGAGATCCGCGGACGGTTTTTCCCCTCGCTTTGTACTGCAGGCTCAGTTGGCCCAGTGCTGGTGGGCAGGCTTCAGTTTAAAGCCCTCGCATTAGTCTGCAGGCCCTCTTTAACCAAGCTCCGTTAAATCTTCACTCTGACTGCAAGCTCCGTTTAATCCCTCACATTGGAATGCAAGACCTCAGTTTTAATCGCTCTCATTGGACCGCATGCTCTCAGTTTTAATCCCTCACTTTGGCCTGCGGGCTCTGTTTAAATCCCTCTCTGGACTGCAAGCGCTGTTTAAATCCCTCATATTGGACCGCATGCTCTGTTTTAATCCCTCACTTTGGCCTGCAGGCTCTGTTTAAATCCCTCTCTTTGGACTGCAAGCGCTGTTTAAATTATATCTGGAACTACTTATACCTGGAACTGTTGTACCGTATCTGGAACTGCCTATATATGGAACTGCCTATATATGGAACCGCTATATTGGAACTGCTCATATGGTACGGCTATACATGGAACTGCATACATGGTACTGCCTATATCTGGAACGCTATATTTAAAAAAAAAAAAAAAAAAAAAAAAAAAAATATAAATAAATATAAATAAATATAAATAACTATAAATAAATATAAATAAATATAAATAAATATAAATAAATATAAATAAATATAAATAAATAAATAAAACTGCAGGCCTGTTGGATCCCTCTCACTGGACTGTAATCTCTCAGTTTAAACTCCTCACTTGGACTGCGGGCTCAGTTAATCCCTCACTTGGACCGTAAAACTGTTAAATCCCTCACACCGGACTGCAGCTCTCGGCTTAATCCCTCATTGGACTACAAGCTCTCTGTTATAAATCCCTCTTTAGGACTGCGGGCAACGTTGAATCCCTCTCTCTGGACTACAAGCTCTCAGTTTAATCCTTCACCTTGGACTACAGGTCATTTAACTCCCTCACACCGGACTGCAGGCTCTCAGTTAAACGCCTCACTTGGACTACGGGCCCGGTTTTAATACCTCACTCTGGACTGCAAACTCTATTAAATTCCTCACATTGGACTGCAAGCTCTGTTTAGGTCCCTCGGCGTCTCGTGTCCCGCAACCTCTTCCCGGCTCTCCGTGAGCCCCAAGTCGGCACGCGGCTCGGGCGCGGGAGGTGTCCGTGTGCTACGTCATTGGCCCCTTCTCTCCGTCTCGCTCTAACCCGACGGGCATCGCCACCCGCAAGCACTCCAGGAAGAAGCGTCTCATATTCGTCCTCTCCTGTCCCCGCTCCGGGCCCGCCCGAGCATCAACAGCCCCTTCCCTCCAGCGCCCCTCTCTTGCGGAGGCGCCGTGCTGGATCCTGCTAAATTATGTACGGCTCCCCTCCGTCCCGCATCTCCTCGACGACTTTCTCGTGGTAGACCCACCCTCGGACGGCTCCGGGAGCTCTCTCCGCAACCTCAAGCTCGCTTTCTACGCCCTGGGAGTCCCCCTCTCCGAGGAGAAGACCACAGGCCCGCCACAGCTCTAGAGTTTCTCGGCATCCGCCTCGACACGCGCGCCACGGAGGCCTCCCTCCCGCTGGGCAAACTCGAGCGCATCCGCGCTATCTCCCGGTCTGCCCCGTCATCCCTGTCACTTTCGAAGCGTCAGTTGCTCTCCCTTCTCGGGCGTCTTGATTACGCCATCCGCATAATTCCTCAAGGTCGCTCCTTCATCTCCAGACTCCTCTCCCTCGCCGGCTCCGTCTCCTCCCTCAACGACGCGGTCTGCCTGGCCGCGGGGTGCCGCTCCGACCTGGCGTTCTGGTCCCGCCTGCTGAGCCGTCGGAATGGCGTCTCCTTTTTTCTACAGCAACGTCGTCCTATCCTCGGACGCCCTGCGGTTCTTCACGGACGCAGCCCCGTCCGTGGGTTTTGGGGGATTCTTTCAGGACCAGTGGTTCGCCGGGCCCTGGCCCGACGCCTTCCCTCAAAACATCTCCTCCGCGCTCCACGAGATATATCCCGTGACCGTAGCCTGCGCGCTGTGGAGCCATATGTGGCAGAGGAAAAGGATTTCCGTGATGTGCGACAACCTCGACGTTGTCGAGGTTCATCCTCTCCCCAAATCATGTCTTTTCTTAGACGTATCACATGGCTCTCAGTCCTGAACAATTTTATTATCACTGCTCGTCGCGTCCCTGGTCACCTTAATTGTCTCGCTGATTCTCTCTCTCGTTTCAAATTCCAGGAGTTCCGACGCCGCTGCCCTTCTGCCAACCCATCGCCATGCCAGATCCCCTGCATGGAATCCCTCGCCCCGGACTAATCCCTCCGTCTCTTCGCCTCCTCATCTCCTCCGCGGCATCCTACATGAAGATGGGCCTCTCACCTTCCACTCTGAAATCATACAGTCTCGCTTGATCCATGATGCACTACACTCGCCTCCGCTCACGGAAAGGAGATCTCAACGGACCGTCATTCTCACTCTCGATAACCTCCCGATGTCCTCCAACTGGGTCAGAGCCCAACTCAAGTCTGTACTGCTGCTTTGTAACCTGTCTCCCTATCTCTACACAGCCCACTCCTTCAGAATAGGCGCCGCCACGCGTGCCGCGTCCCTGGGTCTCCCCCATTCTGCCCTTCAGCAGTTGGGCCGCTGGTCATCATCGGCCCTCTCCTCATACATCAGGCCTGACACTCCGACTATCCTCGCAGCCCAGCGCCTCTTGGCATCTCCATAAATCACTCGCAAAACTCCTGGTGGCGGCAGCAGCTGAGTATCCGCATAACGATCACAGCATATAACGGTCACAACAGATAGCGGTCATAGCTTAGTGATAGCGGTCATAGCGTCAGTGATAGCGGTCATAGCGTCAGTGATAGCGGTCATAGCGTCAGTGATAGCGGTCATAGCGTTAGTGGTAGCGGTCACAGCGTTAGTGTTAGCGGTCACAGCATAGCAAAAAATGGTTAGCGCATAAACGGTTCACAGCATAGAGATAGCGGTCACAGCATAGCGATAGCGGTCACAGCATAGCGATAGCGGTCACAGCATAGCGATAGCGGTCACAGCATAGCGATAGCGGTCACAGCATAGCGATAGCGGTCACAGCATAGAGCAGCCACGACGTCTGTCCCCTGCAAACCAGGCTGCAAAACCCCATCAACTCACAGCCTTTTTGGGGATTCTACGCGCCCCAGCGCAGGAGCCTCCCCTAACTGAAGGCCGCACCGGGGCCTAGGGCGCCAAACCACCTCTCATTAAAATACTCAAAAGCTTTCTTGTTTCACGTCTCTCCAAATTGAAATGTAGCTCGCGAAAATTCAATTTAGAAGACGTCAGCCCAAGCTACCCCCTCCGGGCCGACTCACATCCTCAGCCTATGGCGCAGCAAACGCCCCCTTCCAATCACACCGTGCCGGACAGACCAGCCGCTTAAAAGCGGAGCAACTCCCATTTTACGGCCTCCCGAAGCCTCGCATCCACCGCCTCCCCTCCTCCTCCTCTTCACCCTGCCTCCAACCTGCCTTCAAACCTGCTTCACGCTGCCAAGATGCCGCCACCAGTACCTAGGCCCCGGGGGGATTCTACGCGCCCCAGCGCAGGAGCCTCCCCTAACTGAAGGCCGCACCGGGGCCTAGGGCGCCAAACCACCTCTCATTAAAATACTCAAAAGCTTTCTTGTTTCACGTCTCTCCAAATTGAAATGACATTATCATAAAACTCTCCACGATCTCCATGGAAACAAGCAGAACCCACCAAAACATTTTTTTTTCTCCCTCTCCCAATTAAAAAGCCCTATAATCTAACACACGGACTATAAGTGTTTAATGGCAGACCGTGGAGCGTCCTCAGGCAACTCAATGTTTTTAATGACAATGAGGGCGAGGACCCCGCAGACTGAGTGTGCATGTGTGTGTGTGTGTGTGTGTGTGTGTGTGTGTGTGTGTGTGGTCCACTTCTAGAAAGCATAGTGGCATTCTGGCAGCATGAGCTATGACCCCAGAATAGACAGGTAGCCTATATAAAACATAAATAATTGAACTATGTCGGTGTTATGGGCTATTAGGAAGAGGTCTTTTCACCTGCTGTTAAAGAGAATAGAAAGCCTCGCCAGCAGAGGGCAGTGTAATGCAAGGTGATGGTGTAACAGTTTCGTTGGGAAGTTTATTTTGCTACAGTTTTAACACCAGGTATCCCAGAATTCTGAAACTACAAGAACTCCCAGGGTTCTTTAGTTCCATTCGAATCTATGTAATTCTGAGAAATTCCTCCTTAAAGGTTTTTTTTATCTGCCAGCTTTATTAAAAGTAAATCATTTATAGGGTTTTTACTTTTTGCTCATATTGTAATAAGCGCTAAAACTGGTGAATATGACTTGAAATATGTTTAAATAAAACAGTTTGTTGAAAGGCTAAATGCTAACTGCTGACAAAAAACAGTGTGTTGGCATGGTAACGAGCACTTTCTCTTCTCTGGTAGAAAACCAAGCTGACTAGGCTCAGAAACAGTCCAGAACCAGTCCAGAACCAGGACCTGGGAGAAAAATTGATTTAACTGATTTCCAAGCGACTGATAATGTCTACATTTGAACTACATTTATGTAGATTTTTATTTATGCATGACTTTGACCAAGAGCCAAAGCAATTTCCTAGTTTGTGACTTCCTGTTACTCACATGACAATAAAAGGGATTCTGATTCTGAAATGTATATTCAAATGAATGAATTAAAGGCATTGAGTACTCAGATTTCAGATGCATTCATAAAAAATAATGACATAATTTTCTACAAAAAGTAAAAATAATTATCAAAATTGTACATACACTTAGTAATTACACTTCCATAAATAAAAACCATCATCGGAGCTCTAGTGTTAAATCAGTGCAATGATGAATCCAACCAATTGTCTTTTCATTTGAAAGTAAAGGGAGGATACACGTTGCCCATTGTTACACAGGACGACAGTCGGTATTGTGCGTGTATTATCATGAGCAGCGCGTCAGTCCAGCGCGCATCCAACCGTGAGCGTCAGTCACCAGCTTGTTGAGAGCCACGGGCGGAGGAGCGAGACGCGCCTCATCTCGCGCTCAACTTGGAAGCTTTGCAGACGGGGAAATAGATGGATTTGCAGAATTACAGCAACAATTGAAACACACATGGTTCTGACAGGTCACGGACAACGAACAGAGACATCATCCACCGCGCGCCATGACCACGCTGCTCTCCGCCTGCTGCCTCCCCCTGCTGCTGCCCCTGATGCTGCCCCTGCTCCTGCTGAGGTGAGTGTGGACACTGACCGCATCTGTCATCAACTTAACCATCCGCAAAATCACAGGAAATCCCGGTTTGTTCCACGGTTCGCGCGCATAGGTCAAACGCGTTAGAGTTGAAACTTATATATTTTGTCTCTTAGTTGTGAAGCAAAGATCAACTCGACGCGCTCCTCCAAAGACATCTACACTTTCACCAAGATTCTGGACAGCCTGCTGGATGGATACGACAACCGTTTGAGACCAGGGCTAGGAGGTAATTTGAATTCATTCTCTCACTCTGTTATGATCAATCTGCCTTAACAGAGAAAAGGTGAATACAGTACAAATCAATTAAAGAAGGCATGCAAGGCTTTCTAATGACGACTATTATGCTATTGTTTTTTCCCCATTGAAAGCTATTGTTATTGTCTCATAGATCGAGTGACCGAGGTGAAGACTGACATCTATGTGACCAGTTTTGGACCAGTCTCAGACACAGACATGGTAAATCCCCACTACTCATAATGCACATATATCACACACATGTAGCAGCATGCTTAATTCATTTCAATTAATTCTTGTATAGCCCTAAATCACAACTATATCGGAGGACAGAGAGAATCAAACAGGTTGAACACACGCAATGTATTGATGAAAAGCACATAGAGGTCTTGGTTCATAAGGGGCAGATTACCAATGTCCATAAATCTTGATAAATGTCCATAAATGTTGTTGAATGCCGAGCGCGTCCTGGATCATCATCACATTTTTACATTTTGGACAGGTCCGTGCTCTGTTGTAATCTATGCAAAGGTGGACAGCTGCTTTTGGTTCATTGTCGCTTCCTTTGTGGCACCTCCTCAAATATTTAAGTGGCTCAGAAGCAGAGGTATGGAGAGTGCACGCTGAGTGGGTCCAATTGAAACAACACATCTATAAAAAGGGGGGAAAGAGCTCGGTTTCTTATGTATTTTTTACTGATTCCATCAAAGTTGCATCAGTTAATGTCACTTAGTCCGTATGTGTCCTTTGTGCGCTCTTGCTGCCCCATACCATTTGGACGTACAGAAAACCTCTCAGAACCTGCGCGCTCCAGATAAACTGCACAATCTGAGCAACGCAGTGATTTTTCTCTGGGGACGCAATGATATAATTTAAATCTCAAAGACGCAAACTCTATTAAAAGTCTAAAAAAAGTCATGTTTGCCTATATTTACACGGTAATAATACAGTATAACCCTGTGTGTGTGTGTGTGTGTGTATGTATTTGTGTGTGTGTATGGGTACTGTACTGTATAGGTGCATCCCAAAGTTTCTCACCTTGTTTTTCCTTTGCTATGTAGGAGGGTCTAATATACTGTAAGGACACTTTTTAATGTTTAATTTACAATATTTACATTCATTAGTTCACATTTACACTCAACATTCAACAGCATTTATGGACATTGGTCGCCTGCTCTTATGGACCAATACCAATGTTTTCTTTTATCATTGCATTTCTTGTGCTTGACAGTTTGATTCTCTAATCTGTGTTGGCGAATTCAACGGTTTTGTAAAGTCCTCCGAGATAACTTCTGTTGTGATTTAGGGCTGTACAAGAGTAACTGGATTGGAATTGAACTGAATAGATCACTGATTAGTTGTCCGATTATTCTTTAGATTAACCGATTAGTTGTTTAGGTCCAAAAGCTCAGAGAATATGACACTTTTTCTAGATTTGACCAATTCAAAGCTCAAAATGATGCTCCTGGGAGAACAGAGTGGACTCGTTCTGAAGTCGTGATTATTCAAAACAGAATATCTTATCTTTTCAATGGGAAATGGTTTCTCAAAATGTTGCATGTTGAAACAGGAAGCTGAATCCCGCAGGTTGGGGGCTTTCCATGCCATAAATGATTATTCTGATGTATCTTGCTTTAGTGATCAGAATCACAGAATTAGTGATGCATTTTTATTTATATATTGTATTTTAGTTGTTTGGCTATATAATCCCCTAAACATATTTGAATAACGCAGCATAAGCATGGTTGTGTGTGGCTGGAGCATAGACTCTATATAAACCCGCAGCTCATTGAAGCCAAAAGGGAAGTGCTCACTAACAACGTTTTGCTTCTACTCAATCTGACATACATTAAAAAGTAAACTCCTCTAGCTCAGTAACCATTTGCGTCACACTCACCATTTTGGGCTTGAACAATCCATGGTTTAGTGCTCCATTTCTGATATTTGTGCAAAATGCAGCAATTGCAGATATAATATGTTGTCTCCCGTGCTATTTCTACAGTTTCAGATCTGTCACTGTAGCCGTGAGGCCTGGATCACAGAAAGCATGTGAAGGTCTGGATCTCTGCCCATTTCATTATTAGTGGTTGGTAGCATTTGATAGGACAGCTAAAAAAAACAACTAAAGAAAACAGGAAATGAATGCAGAAAGGTGAAACAAAATAATAGATATAGAAATAATCATATAATAGAAAGTGCTATCTTGGATTATTGTGCTAATGGAGGCTGCTTCTGAATTCAGCAACAATATCTCTTCACCTGTGCTTCAAAAATGACCTTTCATGAGACGGGGTAGCTCTGGGGTCGCTCAAGTGACATGTTTTTGCTGCCACTTTGGTATTTATTTTATGCCACAAAGGTCAATATAAAGGGGAAGGAAGGACGGGAAGGAGAAACTTTTAACTTAATTCCGATGCAGGGCGAGTGCAGCATGTCCTAGTTCAGCGATCTGTTATTGACTATTACTGCGAATCACCGATAGCGTCGATATAGCTGCAGAATTGTGTTATCTGTACCAAACTGCCTGAGCCACGCTGCTGAATTGTGTTTATCATAGATTCAGATATATATGAATCACTCTCAACATTATTTAAATACATGACAGGGGTAAACATGATCAACTGTCAAAAAGTAAAAACAAGTTTTGGGTTTTAAAGTTTGGATTAATGAATAAATAAATGTCACCATCTGCCAATAATTATTAAGATAACACAACAAATCCTGATATTTAATAAATACATATTATTGTACAAAGTTTTTCGGTTCCAAACAAAATAATAAAGCTTTATCATTTTTCTGTTCGTTCAAAGGTCAAGATTAAAATAAATATATTTTTATTATTTAACTGCAGTTTTGTGCCCAAAGAAATAATAAAATCTCATTTTTTTCTTTCCCCATGTATCTTTTATCTTTATATTTTTATTTCTATTGATATTTTGTTTCATTATTTCACGACACATTATTCCTTTCTCGTGTCTTGAAAAGTAATGCAAATGAAGGGGGCGGAGCTACAGAAAGTTAGACCAAAGCAGTCTGTCATCAGAGATCGGCTGCATACATACGTTTCCTTGATATCTCTCCATTCCCCACAGTGTGAGGTCTGACCCACAGAGAGGAGGTCTGACCTACAGTGTGAGGAGGTCTGACCCACAGTGAGGAGGTCTGACCTAGTGAGGAGGTCTGACCTACAGTGTGAGGAGGTCTGACTCACAGTGAGGAGGTCTGACCTAGTGAGGAAGTCTGACCTACAGTGAGGAGGTCTGACTCACAGTATGAGGAGGTCTGACTCACAGTGAGGAGGTCTGACTCACAGAGAGGTCTGACCCACAGTGAGGAGGTCTGACTCACAGAGAGGTCTGACCCACAGTGAGGAGGTCTGACTCACAGAGAGGTCTGACCCACAGTATGAGGAGGTCTGACCTACAGTGAGGAGGTCTGACCCACAGAGAGGAGGTCTGACTCACACTTTTTGATGGATTAATCCATAAATGTCAATGGGTTCCTGCCATTTATGTGCAAAAACCACAATGTGAAAATTATCATAACAAGACTGTAAGACAAATCTTCCAAAACATTTTTGCGGACCACCATCTTGTCTGTCTGCCATAACTGCGTGCCTGCTATTGTGACTTACCGGCGCCCTCTGTTGGATTTTTAATGAATGATGTGATAATATAAATTTGTATTCATTTTTTTAGGTTCATACAGGATTCAGTTATTTGACATAAATACATGGATACATATTTCTTCTTCACCCCTATAGACACCTGAAATAAAGTGGGAAGAGACTATCTTATCTTAAGAAGTAAGACTTATGAACTTCGATCTAAGTACACATACATTCACTTAAGCTGCCTGGTCAGTAAAACAATTATTACAACAACGACAATTATAAATTATATCGTCATCATTACAGTCTATCCTCCTTCTCGTCACCATCACCATGGCAAAGGAAAGTGAACATTGGTAGATGACGTCCGGTACTGGCCAAAACTGACTAATGCAGGTAATGACAGGACACTGTACAGGGCTGGCCTTAGGTCTTCAGGCGCCCCAGGCGAAAATATATCATGGCGCCCCTTGTACACTTGTAGAGGGCATCACAGTGAACAAGTGTGCTGTGAATGTAGTCACAAACCTTTAAAATGTCCATTTTGGCGGTCCGCGGCTTCTCTTTCCACTTTTACGTAAGAAAAAGCCTAAAGCCTAGCGTACATCGGACTGGCAACTGATTATATCCGTCGCCTCTGAGTTGCTGCCCCGCACACATCGACAATCTGGCGAAAACGGGCAACTCTGAGTCGCAGGCCAGTCTCTTGAATAACAGCGCGTACATCGACAGCAACTGGCCTCAACTACAGTGTGTTTTCTGACAACAAACTGTTGCGGGCTCGCAATACACGCAATACACACACGTTGTTGGAGCGGCGCATGGAGCGCGCACATCGGAGCAACTGAGGACAACTAGTTGCCGAAAAGTAGAACACGGGCAACTGACTGGAACTGGAGACCGACTGATCATCTCCAGTTGTAAGAGCGCGCACATCGACCGATTTCGGCAACTGATCATCTCCCACCATCTCCTCTCAGTTGCCAAAAGCCGCCTTGCAACTAGTTGTCCCCAGTTTCTCTGTCGATGTACGCTAGGCTTAAAGGAGCCACCTGCTGTTGATCAGTGTATTAGGCAAGTTACTTCAAAACCGTAATACATTATGTTTCACTTATTACTGTTATTTCAAAATAATGTATTAAACTATAATATTACTGTATCTGAATTGTAATGCAATACACTACTACTGCATTACTTATAAGTTACTTTCTCCAAATATATATAGTAAAAAATCATCTCAAGTTCAATTGGTATATTAATTTCAGTCTAATAAACGAAGTGGTTGTTAAACTTGGGGTAAACTAGTTAATCCTAAACAGGTTCAGCCCTGACTCTGTCCTGGCTCTGTCCTGGCTCTGTCCTGGCTCACTGCTTTATTTAAT